GTGACCTCGGCGCGTCGTGCTTGTGCCGTGCGCTGCCTCGCCCGTCGCGTCGGGATCTCGGCTCCACGCGCCGTGCTGTTTTCGAGAGGACGTTGCGCTGCTGATCCAGGGAGAAGCGCGCAGTCGTAGATTCGCGTTTCACCACTAGTAACCACCGTGGCCAGCGCACGGGCTTGGCCACCGCAAATGGATGTATGTATGCTGTACACCAGCTGCAGCGGTAGCGGACGCCGGATGGACCGTGGACTGCCCGTGGCACCATGCCTCCCGCTCCCGCACGAGGTCGCACGGCATGCGCGCGCAACTGTATGTGCGAGCGCCTCTCGCGCCTGGTGCATGTTTAGTTCCAAAAAATTTTCAAGATTACTTATATCGTAAGACGTGTTCGATTAAATATAAATAAAAATAAAACTAATTACGAGTTCACGAAATTCACGAGAGAATCTTTATCTGTAAGGGACTATGAAACACTAATTGCTAAATAACAACGAAAGTGCTACAGTACCATTTCCCAAAACATTTCGCCAACTAAACAAGGCCTAGTACAGCGTAAGAGTGTTCGTTTTCATCTGCTAGCGAGTTCACTAATCTAGTTATCTGTGAGGGACCAAAATGATTAGAAACATCGAATGTGGACTTTAGATCAGCCATCCTAAAAAATACCTTCGTGTTGCTAAAATTTAGTTTATACTGATATTTATGCTTATTTACTGTGAGAGAAAAATATTGTTCGTTTCTTAAAAAATACACTCTGCAGAGCGGACCAGGTAATCCTAAAATCTGCACACCATGCAGAGGGCAGAGGAGCTGGCCATGGGCAGCACCACGACGCCGCAGCAGCGAAGCAAATCGGCGGTTAACTGCAGTCACTGCAGAGCTGGGCAGCTGGCCATGGGCAGTGCCACGACGCAGAGCTGGTAGGGGAACGTTTTTACATGTGCGGGCACAGCGCTGCGCTTGGCTGCCGGCTGCGCTTCCTGGCTTGAGAATGTCTCCAACAGCCCGAACCCACCCGTACGGAACGCAGTGGGAGATAGGTCACGCCACAGAAAAGCTCAAACCCAAAACACAGCGCGTGCCCCCAACGGAGGAAAGTGGCTCCAGAAGGCGGCGTCGGCTGTTCCCTGAGGTCTGCAGGGCAGCCCCGCCGCGATCCCGTTCGTTGCTGCCCCCAGCCGTATCATGAGTAGGAGCTTGAGGAAGAAGGCTAGGCACAAGAAGAAGAGGAGCAAGGCACTGTCTGCCCCGCCAGGCGAAGCTAGCTTCTGTTTCGCAAGCTGGATCCGGCACCACCATGCGAGGTAGCTCTCCCGCTGGCGTCGTTGTGCCGGCGAGATCTGGTCCCGCCATCTTCTTGAGCGACATGAGAAAAAACAGCGTCCGTGGCGCTGACGGCGCTCTTCTCCAAGCGTGGCGGCCCTTGTCGGCGGCGCTTGCTCCAGTGTAGCGGATTCTCGCCGGGATCCTCCTCCCCGCAATAATAAATATAGTCCTGCTCCCACCGACCTCCAAGTTGTGACCGCAGCCCTAAATAAAATAATATTAACGTAGGCGCGATTTACCCCTTCAACTTGTTGCCCTTCACCCTCCGACGGCGCGCATCTCTCTCCCTTGATGGTTTTAAATATCTCCCTCTCATGCTTATTTGCTCCCTCCGATGGCGGCTTGAACTTGTTGCACACGTTAGGCGCATCTCTACCTTGAAAAATCTAAGTATGCATCTCATCCTTCTCTCTCTACCTTCAAATTTGCCGAGAACGACGCGCTTTTTTGCCTTCGAAGACAAATTAGTCAAAATTGCTGCCTGGTTTGGTCCTCCTGAAGCATGTTGGGCTTAAAACCTTATAGCGTATTGTCGATTTAATATGTTTGGTCACCCTTTACCGGTATTTGTTGAGACCGGATTGAAAGGATTAGGAATATGCCGCCACATTATCAAATTTAGTTCTACGGAAAATGTAGAGAGCTTGGCCACTGAAAAATAAGCAAAAATACTATTCCAGTTGATTGTTGTGAGAAAAAAATACTGGTCGGTCTGAAATCACTATTCACGTGAACAGTGATCCGTGAGGGGGCTGCCCAGCCAGCCAGCCACCGCCCAGCCAGCCGAACAGCCCCTCGGTGGCTCCAGCACGTCGAACTGTTCCCTGAGGTCTGCAGGGCAGTGCGATCCCGTTCGTTGCCGTCCCCAGACTAGTAGTAGTGTAGTACTCTAGGACGCTAGGCACATGATTGGACGAGCACTGTCTGCCCCGTGGACGCTAGGCATAGCTAATACAAGTGCGGTTCGAACCATTCTTGTTTTTACATGGTATCCGCCATCTCTCGATATCACGCTTCTGCTGCCCTTCTTCTTCCTTTCACCACCACCATGGGCTCTTCTTCCTCCTCTGCCGCGTCTTCGAAAACGGAAGAAGAATCTGGCCTCCCCAACACCGCCCAACTCCGCTCTGATCCTGCTCCCTAAGGCCTCGTTCGGTTACGGATTAATCCCGGCCTGGTGGATTCCTTCCTAAAATACGTGTTCATTTAGCCTACAAAACTCGTCGACTGTTCCGCTGCCGAAATATCGTACTACAACGCCTGGAATCAAACCGTAGCTCGGAGTGGAGGAACAGAAGCTGAACGTAGTTATCTGGAGTCTCCTCAGCATCGGCCAAGATCACGGTGGATCGGAGGACTCGCGATGGTCGGTATTGCTCTGCACGTATCTCTGGGTCAATCCGTCTGGATCGGTTCCATTACAACCGAACGAGGCCTTATCAAAGTTTAATCCTGTCGGCTCCAGGTGTGAACTCTGCCTCACAGATGACGTCAGAAATTCGGGAGCACAAACTGTTGCTTGTGAATGATTTTCTTTCGGAAGGTCGTGGATCTGCGCCTATGACTCACAAACAAACAAACAAACAAACAAACAATTTTTCGTGATGCCTAGACAAACATATGCACGCCTGCGGTCTGCGGAACAGAAGGGATTGCATGTCAATTTGCAAATAAATGCAACTCTACCTTAATTTGACACGAAACAAAGTTCGGCGCATGCCGCATGGACCCCTGCCCCTGCCCTGTGCCAGACAAGGAGCGCACCAGAAATCCAGGATGGAGACGATGAGTGGAGACGCTTTCGGAAATGTACCAGTTTGGTAGAATCTCTGATAAAGGCAAAATATCTAAAGACAGCGACAAGCACCTGAAGAAATGCTCGCGCATCCTTTCCCCTTACAAAGGCAGTACACCATCAGTTGAGGACTCCTGAGGGCGAGGAACCTCCCGTGCGCATAGAAGTTTCTTCGCTGCAAAAATTACACCCTCAAAAATCTCAAAAAGCTAATCTCCGATCGAACGTTTCTCCCGCGCATGTAGAAGTTAAATGTCGCTGCAGCGGTTTGGTGGAAAAGTCAGACGAACGGAATTAGTCCATTGTTGAACACTAATTGCCAAATAAAAACAAACTGCTACAATAGTCCTAAATTCTAACTTCCTACGGCTAAACACGGCGTCATTTGGACAGGCCGATAAAGATCACGAGCAAGGTTTGACACTCATCCGGATTTGTTTGATCGAGCATTGATGCGGTTGGCGCGGACAATGAAGGGACAGTACGGTCACGTGCACGCACGTTCGCGTGGCCCAACAATGCCTGCCTGTGCAGCGTCCAACCCCGTCTGCTGCATGGTTTTGCATACTTGCATGGAGTAGTAGTATAGTAGGCCACGCAAACAACCTCTTGCTCTCGTCCTTGGACGACGGCGACGACGCGGCGGGTGTCGGACGTCCGCATGCGCTTCACTTGGATTGCATTTGGATCTGCACATGCGCTGCAGCGACCGGAGTTTAACTGCGAGCCTCAATGAGCCTCTGCCCTGCCCATGCTACGCGCCACGAGCCAGATCGCTGCTGCAGTCTGCAGACGTGGCCGGAGATGGAAGGCGTTGTCGCCTCGGAGGCTCGGACACGCACCTGCTGCCACCTTCAGCCCAACGGCCTGTGTACTAGCCAGCCATCTAGCTAACGCGGTGAGCCGCAGGTCCCGGCCGTGGATACGGTCGCGTCGAAGCGCTTCGCGCAAGACAAATCTGTGTCCTGGTTTTCCCTTTGGGCAACAAGAAGCGAGGCGAGTACATGCATTCTCCGAGCGTTTGAGACACAAGCTACATACTCCTACTCCCTGTCGTCGCACGACCATTTCCGGTTAATGTGATGTCATGGGTCGAATTTTTTTTAGCACAACACCATGTCGCGTTCCTAGTACGTCCTACAATGCCCAAACGGCACGGCAGAAGAAATTTTCGTAACGGTTGGAATCTGACCACGCGTCCACGCGCGGCTCACGGGTATACGGCGGCGCCGGTGGAATCGGAAGAGCGAAGGCACGCACGAGCACACTCGTGGTCGTCCGCGCGCCGCAAGACGGCACGGAAACAAACGGCTAGGCGAGGCCGCACGGTTGCGAGGATGCACGTGGCAGCATTTACTCGCAGTGCACGAGATGAGCTTGCCATGGGCCCCTGGGCCGGTCACGTACGCCACGCGCACGCGCACGCCCACGCCCATGCCAGTATGCCACCACCTCGCTGGCAATCTGCCCTGAAGTCGGCCGAGCTCTGAGTTCGAAATTCGAAAGCCCCAACCGTCCGATCCTGCAATCATGATGTTCTGTTTCGTCGGGAACGGCGCAGCACGGAACGGGAAGAGAGAGAGCCCACTGCCCCCCGCCGCCCACCCACCCCCCGCACCGTCCGTTGTCCCAACGGCCGGGGCGGGCCCCCGCGTAACGGCGCGTGGGGTTCGGGCGTCCCTCAGCCGTTGGATCCGGAACTGACCTCTGACCGGAGGGCGGAGGCGGCCACCTTCCCGTCTACCGTGGCAGGAAAGATAAAAATGAGGCCCGAGGCCACCAGCGCGGTGGCCTGTGCGTGCGTTTCCCGTGCGTGCGCCGTGTGCGAGAGGAAGGGAAGGGAAGGGACAAGGAAGGGTCTTTGCTTTGCCCAGAGTCCCGGATGGGGAAGTACAAGAGGAAGCGCAGCGTGGGGAGGACGCCGGCTGTGGAGCTCGGCGTGAGGACGCGTGCCCGCTCCGCTGCCGTCGCGAGCGCGGCGGCGGCACCGGCGCCGAAGAGGCGGAGGAAGCAGGCGACAGCGCGTGCGGAGGCCGAGGCGGCTGTCCGCGGCAACGGCGGCGGTGCAGCGCCTGCAGGGTGCTGCTACCTGCAGCTGCGGAGCTGCAGGAGGCTGTTCATGCCCGCGGTCGACGTGCAGTGTCCGGTGCCGCCATTATTGCCTGCGGCGGCGGTACAGTGGCCTGGAGCTTCCGAGGAGCCGGTGGAGCCGGAGGTCGCTGGGATCTCGAGGTGCTCCAGCACGGCGTCTTCGGTGGACGTCCTCGTCCTGGCAGTGGCACCGGCTAGGGAGACGAGCGGTGGCGAAGCGGAGGAGGTGGATGGGCGCGGGAGCCCTAGCTATATTACAATACAATTCAGAATTCACACATGGCGCCGCTCAATTATCCGTTCTGATCGCGGTTTCTTCTTTCTTGGGCTTACTACAGGCACGCGAGAACTGCGACGTCGAGAGCGTCGTCGTCAGCGACTCCGCCGGGTGCAGACGCCAGAGGTGAGCTGCTGCGCTCCTCCTGAATTCCCGGGAACCCAACAGCCTTGCCGCTTTTATTTTTCTCACGATTATTATTTCCCCATGAACAATTTTCGTAATTCAGGAGGGAGACGACGCCGTCGAGCCGGCCACCGGTAGATCTCAGCGACGAGGAGTACAGTCAGGCCGCGGACAACGACCCAAAGCGCCACCTTGGTCGGACGGCTTTGGCCACCACGACCGCCACGGTGGCTTGCAGAAGAGCAAGGATGCCACCGGCAGGAGAGATCGAGGAGTTCTTCGGGGCCGCGGAGAAGGCGCAGGCCGAACGCTTTGCAGCCAAGTAAGTAAGTACTGTAGGAACAATTCACTGCACTGCACACTGTCGTCCGGCCTCGTGCGCGCATTTCTTCCGGCGGTGGCGGTCGTCGTCAAGAGTGCTCCTGAGTCCCAACTCCCAACACCAGGCCGTGCAGTGGGCGCTAACTTCGGGCTCTCTTCTCCCACACAGGTACAACTTCGACGTCGCACGCGGGCTGCCGCTCGGCGTCGGCCGGTACGAATGGACCCCGGTGGCCAGCGGTTGATGACGACGTGCGCGCCCGCCGGAAAGCGTAAAGCTGGAGCCGGAAAGCGACGGTGGCGCAGAAAAACGAGGGCACAGATGATACAACCAGAGCAGAGGCAGAGAGACAGAGCAGTAAAAGCAACGAGCATTTTCACAGCAGTAGCTCCTCTCTCGATCCGACCTGAGTTGTTCAGAATTCTTCGTAGTCCCAGCCACAAGGATTCCTGATTTCTGTAGCCCGGTGCAATACCGAAACCTGTTTCTGTTTCTGGTTGGGCCTTGTTTAGCTAAGTTTTTTCATTCTTTTTTCATCACATCAAATCTTTGACATATGTATGGAGAGATTAAATATAGATAAAAAAATAATTAATTACATAGTTTGATTGTAAATTACGAGATGAATCTTTTGAGCCTAGTTAGACTATAATTAAACAATAATTATCAAATATAAATGAAAATACTACAGTGCCAAATAGCGATTCTAACACTATCTGAACAAGGCCTTGGTGTCATCGGGACAGCCGGCATTCAATATGTACAGTACCACAGCAGTGATGCCGCCGCGACAGTTAACCACCGTCAGCTTGTTTTGCTGACAACACGTCGGTACCTCGCAGTCTTTTGTTCCTTTCATCGACTTCTACGCCTCTCGGTCTCTCGGTCTGTCAGTCACGGCCCGTGTCAGTCACGGCCATGGCTCTGACTCGTAAAAAAATAGCTCTGTCTCTGACTCGTATGGAAAAGCAATTTTTTTTTTGACTCTGGCTTATTTTGTATAAAAATATTTGGCAAAACGACTTCTCCTAGTGTAAAGAAGATGTGAAATGGTCCAAATACCCTTATATTTTTTTCTTTTTCTTTTTCTCTTTTTTTCTTTCTTTTTTTTCTTTTTCTTTCCTTCTCCCTTCTTTTCTTCTCCTTATCCGAACAGCCTCACTCCTTACCGGCACCCACTCCCTCCATCCATCTCTCTCTCTCTCGGCCGCTTCTCTTCCATTCCACCCCGCCCCCCGGCCCTTCTCCCTCCTCACACGTCACGATGAAATAGGCGCAGGCTTGAGCGAGAGGACCGCGCTGGGCACCACCGCATGCTAGAGAGCGGCGACGGGAGGGGAGGGAGCCGAGGACGATGGCGCTGGGCGCGTGTTCCACTTGCAGGCTTGTTGGCTGCTGGATCTGGCGGTGGCCGAGATGTCGCTGGTGGTGGCGCTCGCCTTCTTCACCCTCGTCACCACCGTGCTATGGGCGGAGCTCGAGGCCAACGGAGTGGAGCATGAAGAAGCCGGCGGGACGGAGCTCAAGGCCGACGGGGCGGCGTAGGGAGGCGGCCGTCGGCGCGCGGCGTCGGGGAGGAGAGCAAGCCGGGGACAGGGATGGAAAGTGACGAGCTCGAGCCGGAATAAGCTAGTATTTTTGGCTTCTCGCGTGGGGAGGAACTCAGTCACCGGGTTTTGCGGGGCTTTTGCCGGCTTCTTGCCGCAAGCCGTTTGGGCTTCGCCCGAAGCCGCTCGAGGAGCCGCGGTAAAAGCCCTGCCAAAGGGGGCTCAGTCAGCAGCATCTTCATTCTTCAGTTCGTGTTCTTGCACTATAGCAAGCGTGTCTTTTCAGGTCCTCACAGATCCGTCCATTAATTAGCCAGGGCGAGCAGCTGCTCGATCTGTGCAGTGCTTGACTGCTTGGTTGCACGGTGTTACCGCACCTGTGATCTGATCCAAAACGCGCCGTGGAGAGATGGTCAGCTAGGTGTGGTACGGTGAGGGTCGGCCGAGGGCCGAGGCATGACTGATGGAAGCTGCCGTCTCTTGGCCCGGTGGTATTAAATTACACTTTTGCTACTTCGTCTTGTCGGGATGTTTTACTAGTACTTATAAGTTTGATTAATTATAAATAAAAAAAGTTTTAATATTATAATATAAAATAAATATCATTAGATTAATTACCAAATAGATTTTCATAATAAATTAATTTGAAGCTATAAATGTGAATACTATTCACTATAAATTTGGTCAAACGTGAACTTCTTTAATTCGCACACAACCCATAGTTGCATTTTTTTGGGGACAGAGAAAATACCTCTCAGTGGCCTGACTGCTCAGGCGATCCATCTACCATGAGTCCATGACTGTTCAGCAAACCTAGCAGTCACCTGTTGATCAGTTGAGATAATACTAATAGTTATCACTGTTGCCTGATAAAATACTATATTTCAGGCATCTAAAATATATCAAATCCCTTTAAATGATCGTTTATGCCATCCAAGTACTCACTGCCAAACAGCTTAGTCTCCTCACTACAATGTCCGAAGAAGGTTGAACCAGTGAAGCAAAAAAAAAATAGCTTCACCTTAAAAAAAAGATAAAAACAATAGTTTGTTCTGCTGCCTGCCCGTTGCCCGCTAAGATTTTTGCGCCGTAGAGGCCTATTTTGTGCGGACGCAGGTGGCTTTTGTTTGGTTTCTCGCCTGTCGCTTGATCTACTCCGATTTTTGGATGTAGAGGCCTATTTTGTGCGGACGCAGGTGGCTTTTGTTTGGTTTCTCGCCTGTCGCTTGATCTACTCCGCTTTGGATGTAGCTGCCTAGTCTACTGCACTACTACCGTTTGTCTGCGTTGTGCATATGGAACCCGGTACATGTGGTCCTCAGATCGTAAAATGCTGATGTGTGCGTTAGTACTGCTAGGCTAGCTGCAGACAAGAAGCGACAGCGAGCGCAGTGAAAGGTGGTGTGTTTGGTTCTTTGGTTGCGTAATACGTACCTACGCCTCACAAGTCACAATTGAGTCGAGTAAAAAACTAGTAGTACTAGTAACAATGGAAGCATGGGAGGGACCGAGGGAGTACTAGAAAACTGCTACGATGGCGTGTTTGGCGTGTGACAGTATGCGAGGGACGGGGAGCACCGGCATCTTATGGCTTCTAGTTTATGTTATGACCAGCGCCGGAGGGTGAATGGAAATTAAGGAGGGGCTAATTTCTTCAGCGATTACTGTAACTAATAAAACTTCTCTGTATGGCCTCCCAAGCGGAAATTTCTATGATCCAACTTTTCTCCTTGGCGGCATGCACTGCTTCACATGCTCTTTTCTTCTTTTTCCTGTTCCTGCAGTCTGTCATAGCTCCTGTCTTCTTCAGAGGGGCACAGAAAGCCGTTCTAATCTGCAAGACTGCAACCGCAATTTTCCCATCAGTTTTTTTTTCCCCATCAGGTTTGACAACCGGTTCGGTTCTGTGGGCCGGGCCCAAACAATAGCAAGGTGATGGCGAAGCAAATTACGAATTGGGGGCCCAGCTCTACCACAAAACAGAGCCTGCCAATGACGAGCGTACGTACACGCCTGTAGTGTAGCCTGAATTAATTTTCAATCTGCAAATCAATTTACATATACAAAAAAAATCGGTAAATTAAATAAACCGGGAAAAAAGCAATAGTTGTAGGCCTGTAGCTAGTTTTTCATACATGGAAAGGTACCGTGAACTTGTTTGCCTCACAGTTCAGAAAGCAATGTGGGGAGCAACGCGAAAACGAGTCAAGGAACGCGACAAATTGCAGAGGTAAGCCTTAGAGAGCGTGCCAAACTTGAGATGTGCTGTCAGACATTTCCTACGCCCATATGTCGTTAATTCGCAAACCGACAGATGTGAAAAAGGATTCCAATTCCAAGTCGGCGCGATCCTCGTCGAGGGCTGGAGTGTTCTTCTACCACTACCAGCCAGCCAAAGTATAAATTGAAGACAAAGTGTATGCTGTCATTGTCAAGAATAGCACCTGCTGATCGTTACTCGTTAGTAATGGTTCCAAGTGACTTTCGCGAAAACGGCTAATGCTGATGCTGATTTGGTGCGAGAGAAAAAACATTGTTATTTCGTTAAAACGGTACGACTGATAAGTTCAAGCTGAACAGGGCCTTTGGAGCAGAGGGCATGCCGATTCACACAAGTGTTCAGGCATTCCGTTTCAAGCTGATGTAAGCAATCTAGGACTTGTAGCTTTGATGTAAGCAATCTAGGACTTACACGAACGGCTTGGGATGCAATCCTCGCCAGTTATCTTGAACCAAGAAACAACATTTGTAATTTTGCTTAAATTATTTTTAGTTCAGCCATTTAATGATATTGTCGATTGTATGGGTCTCCAGAACCCTCACCGAGGTCATAAGCGGCTCTCCATGAGGAGCAGGCCAGGTCGATTGGCCAGGAGTGAATTCGATCCGAGGTACCTCACCCACTTGACGGACATGGCATCGTCAAGCTAAACATGGAAATCAACTCGATCTGCTGTAGTTAATTAAGAAACCAACTTGTAAACCGATTTGGGACTATAACGTTATCCCCTCGAACTATACAAGGAGGGATAGAGGGCACCCCATGTTCAACATCGAGAGAAATACACAATAGAAAAAAGTTACAATCCTCACCTCCAAACTGACCCGAGCATACAATGCACTAGCAATAAAAAACATTAACACACATTCTACGTAGGCCATCCTTTGTCAGAACAAGTATATACATGTGTCTGTGTGCTGCCCCTCTGATTGACTGCTAGTTAGTGCGCCAGGTAGGGGGCATCACACGCACATTCATGTGGATGGATCAGCTAGGTTTCTCCGACAACGACGACGTCGATGACTTTGCTCAAGCAACGTCTCTCGTGATCATGCGACGTCCCTCAATGTTACGTGATGACACTCGACATCGCGTGATGTCTATCGTTGACCTGCAATGTGATTCGGTATCCCGCGACAGCACACAAGCATAGTAGTCCGCAGTGGCCTGTGACGACACTCATCGCCCCCGTGGCGTCTCTCACTAACCCGCTATGTGACTTGGCATCCTATAGCATCCCGTTGCGACACTCAACATCCTATGGTGTGCCTCACCATCCCAATGGCATCCCTTGTTCTCCATCAGTGTGACTTGGCATCTCTTGCTATCCCACAATGGCACGTAACAGCTCGTCGGGGCCTGCTACGGCCCGTTGCAACACTTGCTCTCCCACGCATGACTCGTCATCCCTTATTC